GTATACTGTCAATGATAATACCATTAAATCAATGGTATACTCTATTCTGTATTCCGCGATCATAATAGTATTAAGTTCAATGCTAAACCTAGCATTATTTGTTAAATTCATAATATAATTGTAATAAGAATAAAATCTCATTGGTTGTCAATGGAATATTTAAAAATAGTTTTCGTTTGAATGTCGACAAGAGTTTTCTTTTATTTCAATGACACCTATTGTTGGTTTAAACGTTTCTTTCTTTGCAACATAATATAATATAATTTAGCTGAAGTATTATATTTTTAGTATAATTATTGCATTATTGAATAAACTAAAGCCTTGTATAAGAAAAGAACTTTAGTATAATCAAATTTCTGTTCTTTTGAACACCAACAGTTTTTCAAAAAAATACATGCCAGTAACTCTTAATCTGGGTACATACATTTTAAATCAGCGTCAATCTGAAATAAAAAATTATTCTGTTTTATATAACAACCTTAGTTTATTGGAGTTATTATTGTATATATCAAAAAAAATATATTATGTACCTAAAACTACTTTAAATTTTGTAAAAAGAGAATTATTTATTGAGAATAAATTACATACTAATGAAGCTGCCCTAGGGTCTGCAATAATAGACCAGTTTATGATAAATTCTGCAACTGTATTGAAATTTCCAAATGATCTTATATCAAAAGTCGATTACCATTGCCTCATAACCTCATCTTACGGTGTTCGGTTATGTTTCAGCCATATCAGCATTTTTTTCACCTAAAAGATAACTTTAAATAATCATACTAAACCAAAATATATCGAGACAAAATTTGTTATTTTTACTTTTCTATCTGTATACAGATATAAGGAAAGTATAGGAATCATGATTTTTTTGACCTCGAGTTTTCGACGGATTTTTACGTTTTGAGGTCCCCTGAATCCGTTTTGACTATTTTCGCGATGATGTCTGTGTGTGTGTGTGTGTGTGTGTGTGTGTGTGTGTGTGTGTGTGTGTGCGCGTGTGTGTGTCTGTGTGTGTGTGTGTGTCTGTATGTGTGTGTGTGTGTGTGTGTGTGTGTGTGTGTGTCTGTAGGTCGCATAACTCATGAACCGATACACAGAAAAACACCAAATTTTAAACTTAAGCTTTATTCCAGCGTCTAATGAACTGATTAGATTTTGGACAGAGTCGGAACATCTGGGGGGGTACTTTATAGGTGGCCATTTTTATATTTTATGGAATATATCTGTTATTTACGTTTGGAGAAGAAAATTCTTCAAATAAAAGTTACTTCTAATATAATTATCTATAATTTTTGTTCTATACAAAATTTTCCTAAAATGGTCCGTATTCGAGAAATTTGACAAAATGTAAAAAAAATATTTTTTTATAAAAATTGTTTAAATAAAAGTTGTTTGTAATATAATTCTCTACAATTTTTATTCTATACATAATTTCTCTTAAAACATTAAATTTTAAACTTAAGGTTTATTTCGGCCTGACGTGACATGATTAGATTTTGGACAAAGTTGGAACATCTAGGGGGTACTTTATGGGAGGGCGTTTTTATATTTTATGGAATATATCCGTTATTTATGTTTGGAGAAAAAAATTATTCAAATAAAAGTTACTTGTAATATTATTATCTATAATTTTTGTACTATACAAAATTTTCCTAAAATGGTCCGTATTCGAGAAATTTGACAAAATGTAAAAAAAAATATTTTTTTATAAAAATTGTTTAAATAAAAGTTGTTTGTTATATAATTTTCTAAATTTTTATTTTATACATTATTTCTCTAAAATGGACCGTATTCGAGATATTTGAGAAAATGTGTAAATTTAGAATTTTGAAGAAAACTCAAAAACGGATAAAGAAAAAAACATTAAATTTTAAACTTAAGGTTTATTTCGGCCTGAAGTGAAATGATTAGATTTTGGACAAAGTCGTAACATCTAGGGGGGTACTTTATGGGAGGCCGTTTTTATATTTTATGGAATATATCTGTTATTTATGTTTAGAGAAAAAAATTGTTCAAATAAAAGTTACTTCTAATATTATTATCTATAATTTTTGTTTTATGTTAAAATTTCCTGAAATAGTCCGTATCCGAGAAATTTGGCAAAATGTGCAAAATTCGGATTTTTATGAAAATTTGTTGAACTAAAAGTTGTTTGCGATATCGATCTCTATAATTTTTGTTTATACATGATTTTTCTAAAATGGACCGTAATGGAAAAGTGCTAAATTTAAATTTTTCAGTATTTTCGTTTTCAATGAATATCTATAGAAAAATGTTTCGAGGTAGATGTATGTGGACAATGTATATATTTAGTTTATCCTCTAAACATTTATAGAGATGCTGCAATAGGTTGTACAAAATAACCGGAAAAAGCCTATAAAAACTAGATAGGAAAGTCATGTGTTGGACACATCAGATTTTTCATTTAGACAAAAGAACCTATAATGGCGACTTTCGAACAAACGATACCTTAAAGTAATTCTGAAAACAACTGCGATGGAAGCTACGGCGTTGAAAGTATTTACATGATACCTATAAACGAGAAATGTACTTACCTAAAAAAAAATGGAACTAGTTGCTCCATTTCCCAGACATTTAAGAGTTCATTAATACCCATTTTAACTTTAACAAAATAGCCGCCACTTAAAATCACACACATGGATCTAAAAACTGCATCTAACCCTTTGTCTCTAATTTGCAAACTGCAAAGTCTACTTCCGACCACACCCGCCACCCTGCCGAAATGAGGGAATGGTATTGTCTCAACAATAAGAGTTATAGAAGATTGTATACTATAATTGCTTTGACAAAATATGTAATTATATTTAAAACTTCAGTTTGGAATAAAAATACAAATATTTAAACCTATCATACTTTAAATTAGATCGAATTTCAACAGAAATTAAATGAATATATTTCTCTTTTCGCACAACAATATTGTAATTACTAATTATTGATTAAAAACTATAATTCTATCATTTAGTTATATTGTTTTCTTGAGTAGATATTTTCATTCAATCAAAAAAATTTTGATTTTAAAGAAAGTATTAAATGTTGTTGTGTCAAATTAGTGTCTTTTCATTTGAATAACTTTATTATTTTTTCACGTAATTATATTTATGCTTACCGCTTAAAAATTATTCTATAGTTAAAATAAACATACTTCTCAAATTTGTTATAGAATATTTTATTGATTGTATATTTACTTTAATTGAAGTAAAGGGAATGTTTTTAAATGAAAGACTATTCTTGTAAATACAATAGCGTTTTTTCTGTGTAGGATTGGGTGCTCTTCTCCTTGTTTTTTATAATATAAGAAATTATGTTTTTTGAATTCTTCAGCCCATAACTCCACACTAACAGCATCATTTTCATGTAACACCTATAAAATTGTTAGTTAGTAAAATATGACATTTAAAAAATTAATTACAATACCTACCCCATTTTTAATATCAATATGATAACGATGTTTTACATTATTCACATCCCTCGTTGTCATAAGGTCCTTTCTGGCTAAGTGTTCAGAATTAAGGTTTTCTCGGTTAGATTCTAATACTCTGAAAATGTATATATTTTATAAATGAACAATAATAAATGAAGAAGCAAGTAGAAAAAAGGAATATTTTTCAAATTTTTGACTAATGTAAAAAACTATATTTATGTGAAAGGTTGTTTTATTTAACTGTTGTAATAAATAAAATAATTTCATTAACGCTAAACGTGTAAATGAACGGTTGCACTCTTACAGCTTTTTATCATTTCATTTATTGCTACTATATACTAACAAAAAATATATTTTAAACCACAAAAATCACTTCCTACAACTGATACCTACTTGTATATAATGTAAAATTTTTTATAACCTGTCATAACTTTTATTCATAATATTGTGGAATCTCCGAGCCGACCATAGAAAATGACTGCGGTCTAAACGTTACAAGGCCGTCAACCTCAATTTGTGAAATTTTATAGCTTCTTAAGGTTAAGCTGAATAAAGTCATAAAGTTTATGATATAATTAAGAGAGTCGGCAACCGCATAGGTACGGATTGGATTTCTAGCTTTTGAGAAAAAATCGCCCTTCTCGGAAATCTGTCACGAATTGACTTTGTTTCTGTTATTTCCGTTAGTTCATCCAATTTAGTTAAAAGGAGAGTTTTATTATTTTAATATCTATACCTACAAAGCTGCATGTTTAAAAATAAACAGTTAAAATATTTTTACGATAATATACATATTGTCCCATTAAAAATAATTGCACGCACAGAAAGTAATGATACACTGAGAAAATAGCCTCAAATAAATACTTAAAAAATTAACTGTATAACCATTTAAAAAAGTTTAAATTTATATTGTTGGTTTCGGATACATTCTGGAAAAAATAACCAAAACCAGCTATTTTTTGATTCTGTCCTAAACAACCTGGTTTAGCTATTTGGTAAACAAACGCATTCGTGATTAATTATATTAATCCTAGCTACTCGAAGAGGAGTATTACATCAGCATCAATAATCAATACAATCACCAGAGTATCTAAATGTTTTGTGTAATAAAATAATGGTACGTAGATCAGCTGTTTTATAAATGTATCGAAGAGTATAAGTCAGATTTTCTTGTTTTCTGGTTTTTTTACTATAGTTCATGTTTATTATCTAAATATATGCCCTAAGAGTACAAGACAATGCTGAGTATTTTTACTACAAATATTTTTTTAGTCAAGTTCCATATCTGGTTTGTATAAGGAGTATAAGTCAAGTTATACTGTTAGGACCCATATGTTTTTCACTGTTGGTTAGATAGCAGACCGCTGACTTGTACTATTAGAGACTTTTTTTATGTTAGCAGTCTAGGCTTTTATTATAATCAGTCTTGTCTTGTCACTCTTAGGCATGTGAGCTCAACTTATTTAGTTTGATTTTTTTCTCATCTTAAGTTTAAGTAGGTAATATTGTTTCCAGTGAATTGTTGTATTATTATTTTTCGTGGTTAAGAGCAGGCAAGATGGCTTCTTTGAGCAGAGACAAAAAAATGGTGGATATATGCAATAACATAAAAAATACTGAAACTGAAAGTAAGTAGATTGTTTTTTTACTACCTAAAACATTTTGTAAAATACTTCCAAAATCAAGTTTTGGTAACTCATTTAATAAACAAACTTTTATTTTGTTTTCAGATAAAAAGCAAACAGAAGCTGATGTAAATTGTGTAGAGCATAATGTCAGTATTACTCATGGGTTTACTGAGAATGTAATTGTCGATGATCATGCAGGTAAGTTAGTTAATAAGGGATTAAAACATTTCAAAAGTATTTTTTATTTTTCTTGCGGAAACAAAAGTGAAATAAAAATTTCAAAATATTTTGTTTTTTTCAAGAACAATCCATGGTGCAAAATGAAAGACTTCTAGGGGAATCTTTACCTGTCAACGACTGGGGATATTAATCAATTAATTTTTTGCAATGATGATGAGGCTGACCCAAGTAACATTTTGGGACAGCAAAAAGTTTACCTTGGTAAGACTTGATTTTCTGATAATTTTCTAGCCATAGGAGCCCAAAATAATATGTAGCTTAAAACATGAAACTGTATATTTTACAGATTTGGACCATCAACAGAGTACTGTCTATGATGAAGTCCAACACACTCAACAAGACATGGAAAGAGCTGAAAGTGTTGGTCAAGAAACTGATGAAGGTAAGCATTTATCTCTATAGGCAAAAGAGGCTCAGAAAATTCAACAAGTATCCTAACTGTCTATTTTTTCCAACTTAAAACGTTAAATTGTTTGTTTCTCTTACAGACTTGGACCATCAACAGAGTACTGTCTATGATGAAGACCAACACACTCAACTAGTACAAAACATGGAAGTAGCTGAAAGTTTTGGTCAAGAAACTGACGAAGGTAAGCATTTATTTTTATAGAAAATATAACAAGTATCCTAACTGTCTATTTTTTCAGATTGTAACCTTGAACAGGAGAGTATTTCCTCTCATGAAGAAGTTTTCCATCAAACATGGAGTTCTAGCTCTAAAATACAAAATAGATCAAAGGAATCACATTTAGAACAAAATGTAATCCAAGCTGCACCTACTGATAGAAAATTTTCCAAAAGAAGAAGAATAAAAAAATATAAAAATCGAAATGCTGGGAAGAGGTATGAAACTCTTGACGGAAAAGTAAAATTGGTCAGGGCAATGACAGCTTTGACAGTTTGCCGCGCCAAGTGCATGGAACGTAATCCCCCTGAGATCCAGGAAGTTATTTTTAAAGAATATTGGAGTCTCGGAAGTCAACATGAAAGAACGAAATTCGTTGCTAATTTAGTTCAATCAACTGAGCCTAAAGTTATTCGGAAATGAACCGATGATCCTGACGAAGAAAAATTTAGACAGTAAACCAACACATTTTATTTTAAAATTAATGGGAAACTGTTTAAGGTTTGCCGAGGTTGCTTTTAGAAAACTTTTAAAGAAACAAACATGTTCTTGACAGTTGCTATTGCGTTTGCCCAAAGATCAACCACAGGTATTTTGGAACCCAGTAAAAGAGGTAAAGACTCGCCTTCTAATAATAATAATAATAATAATAATAAACTTTTAGACAACACCATTCGAGCAATTCATAATCACATAAAATCCTTCCCCGCCTATGAATCCCACTATACCAGAAAAAAAGCAAAAAAAATATTTAACTTCTTACCTAAACTTGACAAAAATGTATGCACTCTATGTGGAACAAGTTACAAACCCTGCCTCTAAATCAATTTATGAGCGTGAGTTTAAAACACTCAACATTTCATTCAAAGGGCCAAAAGCAGGTACTTGTCACAAGTGCGATGTACTTTCTATGAAAGAAAGAGTAGCAAAGTCAGAAGGTAAGTTAAAGTCTATACAAGATGAAAGAACTAAACATCAAGATGAGGCAGATTTGGTATATAATAAAAAGCGAGAGAAGAAACAACATGGTAAGGAGGACAACACCATTAAATGTTACGCATTTGACCTCCAACAGTGCCTGGAGGCGTTTTCTGGAAAATCGTTATATTTGACTTATACTCCTTGTACTTATCTCGATAGAAATAGACCTAAGTAGGGCAACTCAGTTCGTATGCGACAGTCAATCTGTCTACACGTGTGGAGTGATTAGGCTGTGCTTACCGACGTTTAGTAGTTGATAGAGATAAGTACTTTTTGTTTCTTATTTTAATTTTATCATTTATTTCGGTGGTTTTTCCCAATTTATACATTTTGTTTTCAATAAAATATGAGCGAAAAGACGGGCGGCGAAACGCCGCCCGCACCAAATAGTAATTCGGACGATGAATTTAAAGACATCAGTTCATTTAATTTAGAAAATAAATACAAATTTAGTGATAGAGGTCCTTATAATGTTTACGTCGAACATTTAAAAAATAATTTCGGTAGGCTGTTTCCTATGAAAATAGGTTATTATCTATTAGAAAACAATGAATTTAAAAATGACATTATTGATATCGTTTCAGTGGGAGTGAGTAGGGTAAAAGTAGTTTTCAAAACTTTCTCGATCGCAAATTCATTAATACAGCATGAAATCGTTACAAAAAATAGTTTAGTAGCTTATGTTCCAAATTTTTTTAACCATCGTAAAGGAATTGTACGAATGGTAGATACTTTTTTTACAGAAGAATTCCTATTAAAAAATATCGAATGCGATAATACTACCATCACTGGCGTTCAGCGCATGAAACGTAGAGTCACAGATAATGACGGAAATCAAAAGTTAGTTGATAGGCAAATGGTCATAGTAAATTTTACAGGGAATATAATTCCCGACAAAGTGAGAATTAATTTAACCTATTTTCCGGTGGAACCTTACATACAACCTGTCGTGCAGTGTTTCAAATGTCTTAGATACGGTCACACCGCTAACATGTGTAAGTCCAAAACACAACGCTGTAAAAGTTGTTCTGAAGTTCACGAGTCGGATGCCGCTTGCTCTGACCCTAATCCTTTTTGTATACACTGCCAATCTGATAACCACAGCTCGATGTCAAAAAATTTCCCCATGTACTCTAAACAATTTCAAATTAAAAAGGAAATGTCAGTCCGTAATGTATCTTTCAAAGAGGCTGAAAAGATATTCAGTAATCCGACGTATGCAAAAATTGCTACGCACAATCAATTTTCAGTCCTAAATAATGATGTAAATTTCCCACCCCTATCAGGTCCAAGACCAATACATTACCCACCTAAGTTATTCATACAAAAACCAAAACAACCTACAAATAGTAAAAAAACGTAAGCCAATATCTCCACCGCCAGTTTCCCCTCCTACAGCTAAAAAGTCACAAACAATAAAAGAAAAGAAAAGTGTTCTACCAAACCTTTATAGAGACGAATTTATGCAACACAAAGAAAAAATAATAAGTGACATTTCTGCCTTCTCAACAACACTTTGTTAACAAATCTCATACTACAAATGAAAGTGAAAATAGTCAACAACATATTAGAGAAATCGTGAATTCAATAATGGGTAAGGACGTAGAACAAATATCAGATATATATAGCATTAGTGATAATGATTCCTGCTATTAAGGGCATTAGAATTATTCAATGGAATATATTATCTTTTAATAAGAGAAAACCTAATTTATTAAATTATCTTAATGAAAATAATGTGGACATATTAATTCTATCAGAAATATGGCAAAAAACAAACTCAACAATAAATATTCGGGGATTCTCTTCTGTCCAAGTAAACAGGGCAGATGGAAGTGGCGGTGTCGCTATCTTGATTGCAAATAATCTAGTTTTCAAAAAAATCGATATAAACAAAAATTTTAATGAGGACATCGAAACATGTGCGATTCATCTAGAGCATTATCAATTAACAATTGTTTCAATTTATAAACCTCCCAATAAAACTGTACTCTCCAGTGACTGGGAAAATTTATTCTCACAATTTTCAACTAATACCCTTTTCTGAGGCGATTTTAATTGCCACCACACCTTATGGGGATCAATTACAAATCAAAATAGTGGCATTCGTTTAGTTAATGCAATCGAAAATGGTGATCTAGCAGTACTAAACGACGGAACACCTACACGGGTTAGCAGACCAAATGAATCTCCATCTGCAGTGGATTTAAGTATAGCTTCTGCCTGTTTAGTCGGCAAAATCAAATGGTCGGTTCTAGGTGATCGCATGGGATCAGACCATTTCCCTATTTTTATTAATTATAACTTTGATTTCACTCCTCAAAAAATTTACCCATCCAAAAAATGGAATGAAGACTTGGCGGACTGGTCGCTATTTCAATCACTTTTAGATACTTTTTTTCAATCACAAAATAATTTTTCATTTCTTGATTTTATTAATATAATTGATCATACAGCTTCCAAATGTATGAAAATTAACCATCCCTTTTTACCTACTACTCCCCGCCCATACTGGTGGGATGCTCAATGTTCCCAAATGGTTCTAAAAAGACGGGAAGCTTACAAAAAATACAAACAAACCTCCAACTGGGAAAATTATATACACGCTAAAAAAGTGGAAAGCCAAACAAAAATCATTTTCAAAACCAAATGCAAAGCAAGCTGGAAACTCTTTTTAAACAGCTTAAACAAAAATACGCCCGCTAGTAAAATATGGTACTTTATTAAAAAAATATCAAATAAAAAATATCAAAATAAAGAGCATATTTCTCCAGACATGATTGACAAGTTACTAAAATACTTCGCTCCTGATACAGTCCCCAACAATGCCCATGAACTCCCCTCACAAATTAACCATTTTTTTGAAAAAACTTTCACTTACACAGAATTAGAATCAGCCTTGAACGTAAACCGCAAAAGTGCACCCGGAAAAGATAGGATCACCTATAATTTACTTAAAAACCTCTCTCAATTAGCAAAAGAAAAACTCTTAAATTATTTTAACAACTGGTGGCAAAATAGTGAAATGCAAGAACAATTTAAAGAAAGTATCATTACTCTCATTAAAAAACCAAATAAAGATCTCAACTTAATGTCCTCATATCGCCCTATATCATTAATATCCTGCTTCACAAAGACATACGAACGAATGATAAAAGCAAGATTAGATTGGTATTTAGAATATTCTCTAAAATTACCAGATACTCAATATGGCTTTCGAAGAGGCAAAGGCACAATTGAAGCAGTCTCTCATTTAGTTACAGATATCCAATGCTCCTTCACAAAAAATGACTACCTAGCTTGTTTGTTTTTAGATATCAAAGGTGCCTATGATACAGTGGATCTAAATATATTAGCTAACAAATTGTGTTCACTACAAATTGGCGCAAAAGCATCTGGTAATATTGTTGACATCTTCAGAAATCGCAAGATCTTCATTAGAGATCCAAATAATAACTTACATGGGCCTAGATGGATAAGTCAGGGTTTACCTCAGGGTGCGGTCCTGAGCCCAATTTTATTCAATATATATACGCAAGATATTCATACATACTTAGACAAAGACATTAAATGCATACAGTACCCAGATGACTTTTGCTTCTACACTGAACAGGGCTCGTATGACCTATGTATTCGACAACTGAAATATACATTATACTGCCTAAAGAATTGGTTTAGTGAGAACAACCTTGTTATATCTTCTGAAAAATCAGCAATTGTATTCTTCACAAGACATCGATTAAATACACCTAGTAGCGTTACTCTATGCGGATACGAAATTCCTATAAAAAAACAATACAAGTATTTAGGCATTGTCTTAGACAACAAACTAATATGGAATAAACACATAGAGCACGCAAAAAATAAATGTGAAAAGGGGATAAACATGTTAAAATGTGTCACGAAAACCAAATGGGGTGCAGATCCTAATACTGCTCTCCTATTCTATAAGGCATACATTCGCTCGATCATAGATTACGGGAGCATACTGTATGGTTCGGCAGCAAAGTGTCATTTGCGCATAATTGATAAAATTCAATACAACGCTATTAGAATCAGTATTGGGGCAATGAAATCTTCGCCCATACAAGAAATTCTAGTTGAGGCTCAAGAACCCCCTCTCGAACTAAGACGTGTCTACCTGGCCTCAAAAGAAGTTAATAAAATCAAATGTTTTTTTTTCAAGCAGCCTTTTTTTAAAAAATCTTTACCAACTCGCAGTAGATAACGTAACGGCAGATTATTGGAAATTAAAAAGAGGTTCATTATTAGCAGAAGCTTTTGTAAGAGAAAACACCAATCCCGTTACGGAACTAAATATATACCCTATTTACATTCTTAAATTTGATGCTATTATGTTTAGACCTACTATCATATTCCCAAAATATAATGAAATATTTTGCTACAACGAGAAATTGCTTCAATGTATATTAAGCCGTTTC